AATCTTGTACTTTGTGCCTTTCTTTAACTCAGTAGTTCCAGTAGCTTTGTTGCCAGAAGATGGGTCTTGATCCAAATCCTAAAAGGGGGTTCTTGGATCATGTGCAGGAAGGAATTCAAGGCAAGTCACAGTGCAGTGAGAAGAGGTCATTTATTGAAAACTACTCAGTTACAGAGTCGGGCATCCTCAGAAAGCAAGAGGAGGAATGTGCTGTCTTTGTGTTTTGTCGTTGTTGTTCAGTTTTTGTTTTTTTGAGATAAGGTCTCCCTCTGTTGCCCAGGCTGGAGTGCAGTGATATGATCATGGCTCACTGCACCTTGACCCTCCCAGGCTCAGGTGATACTTCCACTTCCGCCTCCTAAGTAGCTGGGACTACAGGCACCCACCACCACGCCCAGCTAATTTTTGTATTTTTTGTAGAAATGGCATTTCACCATGTTGCCCAGACTGGTCTCGAACTCCCAGGCTCAAGTGATCCACCCACCTCAGCCTCTAAAGTGCTGGGGTTACCGGTGTGAGCCACCATGCCTGGGCTATCTTTGTTTTAAAACCTTCTTATATAGGGGTTTTACCTTTGTAAAGGTTAAGCTAAGCTCTGTCTATGTGTGGGTGGGCTGACAGCATGGCAAAATTTATTGTTCTGTTGATTTAGAGAAAATTATTCTTTTATTTTTATTTATTTTTTAATTAATTAATTTATTTTTTTGAAACGGAGGCTCACTTGGTCACCCAGGCTAGATTGCAGTAGCATGATCTTGGCTCACTGCAACCTTCACCTCCCGGGTTCAGGCGTTTCTTCTGCCTCAGCCTCCCGGGTAGCTGGGACTATAGGCACGCGCCACCACGCCCAGCTAATTTTTGTATTTTTGGTAGAGACAGTGTTTCACCATATTGGGCAGTTTGGTCTCGAACTCCTGACCTCATGATCCGCCCGGCTCAGCCTCCCAAAGGGCTGGGATTACAGGCGTGAGTCACCGCACTTGGCCCCTTGCTCTTTTTAGTGAATAAATACATCAAAGCATAAATATAATTATCTTAAAATAATATATTGTTATGGGTATTAGGACATCTGGACTTTCCATTGCTGTAAGATTATGTTCTTTCAGGTACATTTAAGCTGTTTTCTCAACTGTAAACATCTTATGACCATGGTTCGTGACTGGCAAGTAATGTACCTCGCAAGTTTTAAGATGGAGTCGATTTTAAAATGATGTCACCTTGGTTCTCCTGTGCTCCTATTTCTCTAACAGCTTTATCATATATTTCTTAGTCTGGACACAGTGGCTCACACCTGTAATCCCAGCAACTTTGGGAGGCCAAGGCTGGCAGATCACTCAAGCCCAGGAGTTTGAGACCAGCTCCAGCAACACAGCAAGACCCTGTCTCTACTGAAAATTCAGAAGAGTTAGCCATGCACGGTGTTGCGCACCTGTAGTCCCAGCTACTCGAGAGGCTGAGGTTGGGAGTATTGCTTAAGCCTAGGAGGTCAAGCTGCAGTGAGCCATGATCGTGCCACTGAGGTCAAGTCTGGGTGACAGGAGTGAGACCCTGTCTCAAAAATAAACAAACAAACAAATAAATAAATAAATATTCCTTAAGATTTTTCTACATAGACAATCATGTCTTTTTGAGTGGAGTCAGTTTTACTTACTCCTTTTTGTTAGTTTTGGAGTTTTTTTTGAGACAGGGTCTCACTGTGTCGCCCAGGCTAGAATGCAATGGCATGATCATGGCTCAGTATACCCAGGCTCAAGCAATCCTCCCACCTCAGCCCTCTGAGTTCCTTGGCCTCCCAAAGTGCTAGGTTTACAGGTTTAAGTCATCGTGCCTGGCCTACTTATTCATTTTTAATCTCTGCCTTTAATTTCCTTTTCTTGCCTTATTGCCCTGGCTAGAATCTCCATTTTGGTGTTGAAAAGAAGTGCTGTGATAACAGACATCGTCATCTTCTTCTTGAACCTAGGGGGAAAACATCAGCCTTTTACCTTTAAGTATGATGTTAGCTGACATTTTTTGTAGATCCTCTCCAGGAAAGTATTTTTTTAATTGGCTATATTGCTGCCCAAATCTATTTGAGGCTTTTCAAGAAAAGAAAGGCGAATGGATATGGGGAAGGTACTTCTTTATGCATTCAGCTCTGTGTTTTAGCTGTGTGATGCTCTATCAGGAAATAGGCATATCTTTTTATTCAAAGATTTAAGTATGGGATGTTGTTGATATTAAATGTGACCATGTGTGACCATACTTATCTTTATAAACAGCATGCTTGGGAGGGGCAGGCTTTGCCAGGGAACTAACTCACTCTCAGTCCATTGGGAGGCAGTGTAGCCCGTGGTTAGGAATGTGGGCCCAGAGGCCTGGGCACCCTTTTCCAACTCTGTTCTGTAATCTTGTCCAAGTTACTGAACATTTCTGTGTTGCAATTTCCTACCTGCAAAATGAAGATCTTCATAAAATCTACTTCCAGGGCTTCTGAAGACTTAATGAGCAAATACGATTAAGTGCTTAAAACAGAGCCTGTTTTCTAGTGCATTTTTAAGAAGGACTTCGTTGGCATAAGGCTGTATTTACACACAGGTTTTCAGTAGCAGGTTTATTGCCTGAAGCAAAGAACAGCCATATCATTTTTTAAATCCTCTCCTGGAACCTTGTATTAAGGTTTTTTTTTAAGATGAGAGGGTTGATTTCTGTTGTTTCACGATATTGTTTGTGCAATACATATCTTTTAAAATCTTGTGCATTGCATAGGCAATTACAGGATTATAATGGTTGCCCGCAATACTCTCGAACTTAATGCTGTCTCTGCACTTGGAGGCCGAGCCTGAATTTGACCTTCTGATGTGCTCATTTTGACCACTTGACAGCAGAATGGTGTGTAGAGCCTACGCTGCTCCTGGGTCAGCCCATCTGGGTGTGAGGATCACTGTGAAGCCCCCAGTTGGCTTCAGACTCTGATTTCCTACCAATAAACTCTAATTAAAGGGGACAGAGGCATCTCTAGGAAGGCTGCCTTTCCGTCAGCATGCCCCAAGACCTGGGTGCTCTTCTTCCTGCCTGGGGCGGGTCTGGAGGCGGGGCCAGGGAGCCTCTTGCCAGCAGGGGTGAGGTTACCCTGAGCCTGCTCCAATGTCCTGCAGCAGCACCAAGATATTGACATATAAGGAAGATCACTTAGGAGCTGGCTGGCAGGCCTTCAAGGGTCCTGTCCTCTTCACTTGAACTCTTTTTTTTTTCTCCTGTTTCCTCATACTCTTTGAGGGGTGCAGTCATAGCCAGCTTTGCACAGGACTTTCTACAAGAGTTTCCCACCTGAAGTCCCTTCTTCAGGCAGGGGTCTGCATTGCACAGTCACTGAGTTGTCTGTCCCTGGTTTTCTTTTGATCAGACCAGTGAAAACCTTATTCTACATATTGAGTTAAAAAAAAAAAATTAAAAAGTGCCCTTGATTCTATGTGGACACATGTGCATAGTGTTTTATTCTTCTCTGCCTCCCATGCAGTGGTGGGGGATAGTCTGTGCATGGTTAGGAGGTTAAACTGTATTAACCAGGATTTCCTGGTGTTATCCTTTACAGTGGGATGGGTAGAGCTTCAGCGTCTCCTTCCAGAACTTCCAGGAGTGTCTGGCCAGCTCTTGTCCTCCCCGTGCCAAGACGTTCTGCAGGCTGTTCCCTGAGAGTTGCATGCCTCTGCCACACCCTTTCAGTTGTCATTGTGACACCAGCGCAGAGAGATATTGATTCAGGTAGCAAAGCAGACATTATCCTTTCCCTTGATTGTCATGAGATGCCCCAGTTAGGTGTGGATCCCGAGGCACCCATGTCATTGTCCTCCAAACCGTGCCTGCAGCCCCAGGTGATGTTGCTGAATTATACATGGGTAGAGGCTTTCAGCAGCGCTGTTTTTCCACCAGTGCACAAAGCACTGTGTTTGTTACAGGAGGGATTTTACATGTGGATCTCCAGGCCCTGCAGAAACCGCAGGGCTACAGGGAAACAGGTAACTATTTAACTGAGAGGGCACATCAGGGTGTGAGTTTAATACAAATGAGAAGCAGATACATTGAGTGTAACTTTCTATTTGAGTTATTTCCTTGAACACACACACACACACACAAATGCTAAAAGTTTAAATATTAAACCCATGTGGTTTTCGAAACAAAGAAAGTCAAGAAGGAACAAAGAAAAGTTTTACGGGCCACATTTAACTCTCCTCTCTGGTCAGGTAAGAATCTGAGACCTACAGCTCCTCCTAAATGACAGTAATTACTGGTTTTGTGATTCAGTATCTTTCTGTTCTCTGTGCCTTCTTCATTCTTATTTTACTCTAGTTATATTAATACGTCCTCACTTCCCTCTAACTAAAACACAAAGCAAAGAAAAAAGACTCCCTTCATTAGAGTGACTGAAAGACCATCTTGCACACAGTAGGTGCAGAAAAGCTATTTGTCAGATGCATAAATGACTTCCTCATCACTGTGGATCCTATCTCCATGGTTATGTTAATTCCTCACATTATGAAACATGGCAGCTACCCGGTGCCAATTCTTGAGACATAACATGTTGGAGAAACACTTTGGAAACAAATGGAAGCTCCTGACTGCAAGGGAAGGAAGGAGGGAAGGTGGGCTGGTTATGTTGAGGATTAGATTCAAGTAGTTTGTTCTGGTATTTTGAATTCTTCAGGCAGTAAATGACCCACTCAGAACAGCCTCTCTGGATCTGTGCCTGCGTTCTCCCCTTCACGTGTTTCTCTAACGTCTGTGACCTTCATTAGTATAAATTAATATAAGCATGGAAACGGGACTTCTCTACATGTATGATATTTATTCATCTAACGAGCAGTTTTTGCAGGTCACAGAGGCCAGCCTGCAGAAGGTTCTGCATCGTGTCCATGCTCAATGTTGTACTGAAACTTCGGATGTTTGCCATCTGTCTTGCTACTAAGTTAGGCTCTCTCACAATATCCTCAATGGTGAGTTTTCTTCTGTCAATTGGACAGGTAAAGACCAAGAAGGAGGATTTTTTCCATGCCTGGAACTCGTGTCTGCACCACGTGGCTTTTCTGTCCCTGGCACACACTCACCGAGGTCACTTGGCTCCTGTTGAATATTTGTAATTGAGTGACTCAGGGATCTACGGGTCCCTGGAGACACAGCTCTGCAGGGAAAGGCAGTCCATATGTTGAATTTAGGACCCCAAATGACTTACAGAGACTTGAAGCTTGTGGTAAATCAACTCCCAACTTACTAGGAACACTGACCATGTGACACCCACAAAGCCTGACGCTAAACCAGTGAGGAACAGCTCACTTAACACAACCTGACAATCACACACAGTACTTGACAGGAGCCAGTTGGCAAAACGCCCGCCCCTCAGTAGTGGCCCTCTGCCTGGCTATGATCTCATTCCTAAATGGGAGGGTGTTTTAACAGGGGTCCTGCCTGAGGAATTTTAAGTACCAGACTTACTTAAACCTAATCATCAAATTAGCAAGAAACTGGGTCAACCTTCTAAAGCAGTGGTTCTCAACCAGGGGCAATTTTGCAGTGTTTGGATGTTTCGCAATGTTTAGAGACATTTTTGGTTGTCACACTGAGAGGGGTAGTCACACTGAGAGGGGTAGTGCCACTGGTACGCAGTGGGTGGAGGCTAGGGATGCTGCTAACCATGCTACAGGGCACAGACCACTCCCTTGCAACCAAGAATTATCTAGCCCCAAATGACAGTAATGCTGAGGCTGAGAAACTTGAATATTCATTTTGGCTTCAGTAGACCAAAATAGCAAAATAAAATGACACACTGAACACCAAGTGAGATCCATGACAGCTTATCATTGAAATTATTGTTTAACTTCAACAACCATCATTTTGTTTATCGTCATGTCCTGACTCTGTGGGAAGAAAGTGTTAAAAGAGAAAGGCCAGTCATTCACTGAGTTGGTAGCTTTATGGGATTTTTCATCACACTGGGTCGCTGCTGGCCCTGGGAGGGCTGGGTTTGGTCACACCACAGCTTGCATCTGGGGCACCCTCTCATGGGGTGGAGATGGGGGCTCCTCGGTGGGATCAGGGCAGGTGTTATGGCCAGGAACCTAGGAATGTGCCTGCATCCAACACAACCTCCCAGCCTGACCATCCCCCTTCCTCCCTAACTGGGCAGTTCCAAAAGAGCAAAGTGCATGTGATTCAGTGCCATGTGACTGTACCTGCAGGAATGTGTGGGAGCCGCCCCAGGAGCTCTGATGAGGGCTGAATTGGAGTGAGTGCTTTAGGCTCAGACTGAGCCCAGCTTCTTCCTTCTTTCCAAAGACCAGCTCTTGGGACCTTGCACCTTTGGGTGAGCCTCCTAACACAGGGCTCCGGAGTAAATGTGCCAAGAGCACAGGTTTCTCATGGGATGGGAAGCAGGGACCCCATGGGAACACCTCCCCAGAGACTGGTCTCCGCACAGTGACCACACTCTGAAATGACCATGACCACATTAGCCTTCCTGATTCTGACTGAGTTCCACTTTCTGCTTCCTGGGACATGGAAGAGGAGCAAGGAGAGGGACCAGGAGCATCAGGGACTATGGGTCATGAAGGCACAGGATTGGGTCCCCTCATTTTCAGACTCAAAATTGTTAATTTATTGCCCACCCACAGTATATCAGGCTCAGAGAAACTAACTTATCTTAATTGAACTCAAAAATGAGTAATATTTAAATCTGAATGCCAGTTTATTCATCAGAAATAAAATCTAACCACCAAGGCATCAGTACGTGCCCTATCTGTTCTACAAGCATATCTTCAGATAGAATTCAGTTATAATTAGGAGGTTGCAGCAGGTCACACTATCAGGACAGCTCGTGCCCTCAGGCCTGGCTGGAGATCTGAGTGTCCCCTGTGACCTACTCCAGACCCTGGAGCCCACAGGGTGTCTACTTCCCTGGACTATCTTGGTACACTCAGCATCAACCTCATTCCTTTAAGAAATTTATGTAAACCACCCTTCTTCTGTTGGTGGGTTATGTCTTCAGAAATGTTGATCAGGCTGAAACATGTCTGGGGTATGAAACAGCACTCGAGACACCCTGATTGAAGGTGAGTGTGTCTTGGACCTTCTCATTCACTGTATGTAGACTTGTACTGGCTTCAGTCTCAGGGGTGGTGTGGCCCTGGCTCCTCCCTCTGGGCCCCTACATACTGACCACAGATACTGCCCTTCCTGGGACATGAGGATGGACTATATGGACTCCAGGTGAAAAACTTCTAAACATTCAGAGATGTGATTAAGTTTGAAAAGGGAGGGGGAAGTCAAAGAATCACTGCAATTAACTTCACCTTAGAAACACAGTCGTTGAGCCTCAGGCTGCACAGCATGCTTGCTGAGAGCACAGTGGAGCTTAGTGTGGACTGAGGATGGGGGCTCTGGAGTCAGGTCACCAGGTTCAGACCCTGGCTTTACCTCTACCAGCTGTGTGACTGTGAGTGAGTTACCCTCTCTGAGCTTCAGTTTCTTCCTCATTTATAACATGTAGAGAGCATGATATTTACCTCGTGGGGCTGTTGGAAGGATTAAATGGGACAACGCTCCAAAGCTCTTACCTTTGCATCTGGCTCATTGTTAATGTTTAATAAAACCTTTTCATTACCGCTAATCACTACCCTATGAAAACCTTAGTTCTTATAACCAAAGTAGACATTTCGACCTTGTTCCTGAAAGGGAAGAAAAAGAGGAAAATGAAACAGGCTAAGTCTGAGTGTATGAGTTCTTCACACCAGGAGAAAATATCAAGGATTTGATGATGGCACAGTACAAAATAAATCCAGATCAACTCTGAACCTTTTATTGGTTCATAACCACAGTAGCACAAGTGATAATTTTCAGGCAATTGGCTTCAGGTTCAATGTCAGACAAAGAGGACTTGGAAGTATAAAGAAAGTAATGGAAGAAAAATCATAAGAATTAGTTCAGTGACAGCCTTTAGAAAGCCCAGGAATGTTTTGAAATCAAGAAATCCATTTGTAATGAGGAGGTCTGTACAGATACAGAACGGGTCCTAAAGATAAGGATACTAACATCCTTAACACCATAACACAGTAACCCTAGCCAGTAAAATTTCACCAGCATGTCATTACATTCAAATAGCATGTTACCCTCTGGCAGAGGCCTCCAGGAGATGGGAGAAGAAGTAGAAGGAGCCCATCTGTCTTCAGTGACCAGACCCAGATGTTGCCTTTGGAGCCTTTCAAAAGAAGAATGCATAAGAAGGAAGAGAAGGATCAGTCTGTTAAAGCACAGTCTTTTTTTTTGAGATGAAGTCTCGCTCTGTCGCCCAGGCTGCAGTGCAGTGGTACTATCTCTGCTCACTACTCTGGGGACTACAGGCACCTGCCACCATGCCTGGCTAATTTTTTGTATTTTAGTAGAGACGGGGTTTCACCATGTTAGCCAGGATGGTCCCAATCTCCTGACCTCGTGATCTGCCCACCTTGGCCTCCCAAAGTGCTGGGATTGCAGGCGTAAGCCACTGTCCCCAGCCTAAAGCACAGTCTTAATGTCACCCCAGATGACAGTGAACTCAGAATTTAGCCATTTTTATTAGGAACAAATGGAAAAAAGCCTTCTGGCATCTGTCTCCGTTTGTCACCTGAAGACTCGGGAAAACCGTGTTTGAAATAAAAATGGTAAGCACTCTCTAGTGGTTTCTGCAGTGGGATGTGACTGTTACCATGATAAATTGTTGTTTTTCTGTGATACACATTTTTATCTCGCCCTAGAAAGTGCAGTTCTGAAGCTTGGTGCTGTCTGAACCCCTAAGCGTGTACCAATTCCTAAACAAAAAAGGAGAAAGGAGGCACTTTTATGAAACAAATGACATCCACCACTTCCCAGCTCTGTGCAGAATTGTCTCTTGCTTTTCTCATTCTCGAAGCTTGTGAGTTCTTCTCATTATGCAGCAGGAAGTCCTCTTTCTGGTTCCTAATAAAGTGACTAATAATTTAGAATGTTCACATTAAGAGCAGGTTGTAATTATGATTAGAATATATAATAATGCGGATTTCTGCCTATTGGAGATTAATTTCCGACTCCTCTCAAGGATATATTTGTTTTGAAACAAGACTTTCTTTGTTAATAAAAACATGATCGCATGTATTATTAAAGCATTATTTCTGTATTTTATTCATTAGTGTTCCAGTATGCTCCCTGGGACCAGCATTTTCCTCTCAGTTGTTAATGGGACTATTCTTTATATAGACTGCATTCACCTGGATTTAGCTTTAGCTTTGGCATTCATCTTCTAGGAAATTATGGGAATATCCCTACCACCTCCTCAAATGTGCATTACATTATGCAAGCTCAGATAAACAAACGGCCACAACATCAACCAGTAGTCCTGTGTGAAGCCCCTTTTCACTCAGTTAAACCCAGATCATGAAGGACAAACCGGACTTGGAGTAAAACCAGAAGTTGCAAGACAGCACTTCTCATTCTTTGACTGTTGGGTTTCTGCAGTGTTTTTCTGTTACTACTGGAGGTGGAGGCCTGGAGGGGAGGGGAAGAGTGGGAGGACCAGAGGTGCTAGTTGGCTGTGACACCTGTGTGCCTTCCTCTCCCCCAGCACCCATCTGCTGGTGTGTCTAGCTTTAGAGAAGTCTCATGTGGCCTCACACAAGCGGCCTGAGGGAGGGTGGGAGGGAGCCCTGGGTGCCACTGCCCCTGCTTCTGGCCCGTCTTTGTCTAGCACCTGTTCAATGTGTGGGCAGTGGAAACCAGTGAGAAGATCTGTTGCACCAAGAATAGGCGGATGGAATTCACTGCCAAATCCCAGTAGGGCCAGCATCTTGGAGGCCCCAACACTGGGGAAGATAAGGAATGTCCCCTGGCTTTGTTTTCTCTACTTCAATCACACGGCTGAATCCTAGGCCTATGAGCAGTGCCTGTGGGAAAAAGGTGAACTTGGGAATTGAGAGTCACCATTTCACAGAGTGTGTGATGGCCAGGAGCAGCCTGGGGAGTCTAGGGAGTCCAGGGACATTGGGTCTCTGATGTTTGAGGTCTGGAAATCCAGGAGTTGGCAGGATATGGAGGGACATGAAAGGGAG